CAATGCATGGTGAAGTCAGTCAGAAACATTGTACACATGTGTGATGGTACCATGCTGCGCAGTGAACTCAGTTGGAACAAATCATACACATGTATGATGGTGCCACAATGCTTGGACATCTCAATCGGAAACACTTGTACAAGTTTGTAGGCTGGTACTGGCTCTGGGAATTTCTTTTCCTACATATTCTGATTACATCAATGATCACTCATCAATGGCACTCTGTGGATTATACCCTTTCGCTTCATAGAATAAGGGTTGTTTACTGTGAGCCCTCAGTTGCAACAGAATTGTATTCAGCCACCATCTGTAACATCCTGGCCCTGTACGTCCCATGCTCCATTGTGATCAAGCCAGGAAATTGAACCTGGTTCAATGAAGACTACACAAGGGTATTCCAGGAGCAACACCCAATGGAGTTATAGAGTCATACAGTACATTTGGCCTAACTCGTCCATGCAGACCAGATTTCCTAAACTGAACTAGTGCCATTTTCGTGCATTTGGCCCTCTGGTCCTATCCTAACCATGTACCTGTCCAAGTGTCTTTTTAATGTTGTAATTGTACCTACCTTTACCACTTCCTCTGACAGCTCATTTTATATTCCCACCAACCTCTGTGTGAAAAAGTTACCCCTTAGGTCCCTTTTAAATCTCTCCTTTCTCACCTTAAAATTATGACCTCTAGTTTTGAGCTCCCCTACCCCGGGGAAAACTACGTTGGTTATTCACCGTATTCATGCCCCTCATGATTTTACAAACCTCTATAAAGCCAGCCCTCAGCCTCCTACACTCTGGGGAGAGAAGTTCCACCTTATACAGCTCCTCCTATAACTCAAACCCTCCAGTCTCAGTAACATCCTTGTAGATCGTTTTTGCTCTCTTTCCAGTTTAATAACATCCTTCCTGTAGCAGGGTGACCAGAATTGTACACAATGCTTCAAATGTGGCTTTACTAATATCTTGTACAGCCATAACATGACATCCCAACTCCTGTAATCAATGCTCTGACTAATGAAGGCAAGTATGCCAAAAATCTTCTTCGCCACCCTGTCCATCTGTATGCCACTTTCAAGGGGCAATTTTAGAACATAGAACATAGAACATAGAACAGTACAGCACAGTACAGGCCCTTCGGCCCACGATGTTGTGCCGAAATTTTACCCTAAACCTAAGGTCTATCTAACCTCTACCGCTACCTTATACTATCATCCATATGCCTATCCAACAGTCGCTTAAATGCCCCTAATGAGGCCGACTCCACTACCTTTTCCGGCAATGCATTCCACGCCCCTACCACTCTCTGAGTAAAGAACCTACCTCTGACATCTCCCCGATATCTACCTCCTTTCACTGTAAAACTATGTCCCCTCGTAAAAGCAACCTCCACCCTAGGAAAAAGTCTCTGGCTGTCTACTCTATCTATACCTCTGATCATTTTGTACACCTCTAACAAGTCAGGTGGGCAGGTTGGCATCTCTGTTCGACAACACTCCCCAAGACCCTACCATTAACTATAGGTCGTGCCCTGGTTTGCCTCACCAAAATGCAACATCTTGCCTTCACCTGAATTCAGCTCCATCTACTATTCCTTGGCCTGCTGGTCCAGTCGATCAAGATCTTGTACTCTTAAATAATCTTCTTTGCTGCTCACTATACCACCAATTTTCATGTTATTCGCAAGCTTATTAACGATGCCTCCAATGGTATCATCCAAATTGCTTATATAAGTAACGAACAACAGTGGACTCACCTTGCAGCATATCACTGGTCATAGGCCTCCAGTCTGAATAACAAACCTGAACCACTACATTTTGTCTCTTACCGTCAAACCAATTTTGTATCCAGGATCCCGTGTGATCTCAAAGCTCAGCAGATCTAGCAGCATCTGTGAAGAAAAATTAGAATTTACGTTTTGAGTCCGGTAACCCTTCCTCAGAACTGTTCTGAGGCAGGGTCACCAGACCTTAAGACATAAACTCTGATCTTTCCTTAACGGATGCTGCCAGACCTGCTGAACTTTTCCAGCAACTTCTGTTTTTGCTCCTGATTTACAGCATCCGCGGTTCTTTCGGTTTCCATATGATCTAGCCTTACTAACAATGTGCAAAATTGTTCAGATATGTCTTGTGTACAAGAAGCAGGACAAATCCTACCTGGCTAATTACCTGCTATCAGCATACTAACAAGCATTGACAATGTCATGGAAGTTGTTATTGACAGTTCTAGCAAATGGAAGATAGTCAGCAATAACCCACTCATTGATGCATCATTTGAGTTCCACCAAGCCTTGTCCTAAATGCCACAGAGATTGTGGTGGAGAGCTGCCTTCTTGAGGTGCTTCAGTCTTTTGAATGTAAGGGCACCCACAATGCTGTTAGGAAGGAAGTTCCAGGATTTTGACCCAGCAACAGTGAAGGAACAGCCAATTCCAAGTCAGGATGGTGTGTGGCTTGGAGGGATGTTTTAGGTGATGTTGTTTCCATGCATCTGCACCCTTGTGCTTCTAGTGGTAGAAGACGTTTGAAATGTGCTGCTTAAGGAACCTTGGTAAGTTACTGCAGTGCATCTTATCGATGGTACACATTACTGGTGGTGTTGGAGGAAGAGACTGTTTGTGAATGGGGTGCCAGTCAAGGAGTCTGCTTTGTCCTGAATCGTGGACTGACGCATGAGGAGAGATTAATCTTGGGTGTTGAGGAACATTTTGAACCAAGAGATGAAGTGTGATGGAAACAATTAGGATCAGAATGCTCCACTTTAGGACCAATCCTTCTGGCAGAGTGGACTATCAGTGTAGAGTGATCTGTTATTCACCAGGTACAGGAATGGGGGTGGGGTAGTGAAATCATCTCAGAAGATGAGCAGAGATCACAGAGATTAAAGAGTGACCAGGCCTTTGAAAGCCAGCAGGGGAATTTTAAACTTGAAGCCTCACTGGACCAACAAATTTTTTGAGGCAAGTGCATGGGTATGTAGCTGCTCAAGTGTGCAGTTGTACAAAATGATTAAAGAGGTTATATTCTGCATAATAAACAACCTAAATATAACAGCTACATGCATACTGAACATCAGAGTCTGTGTATGTCTGTGGGCACTAGAGTGGTGGTTGCATAGGCCATTGGATGCAATAGGAGATTGGCACCAGAGTTTTAGAACATAGAAGATAGGAGCAAACCACTCGGCTCTTCGAATCTGCTCCACCATTTAGTATGATCATGGCTGATTGTCCAACTCAAGCTCCTGTTCCCACTTTTCCCCCATATATTTTGATCACTTTAGCCCCAAGTGCTATCTCCAACTTCTTCTTTAAATCATACAATGTTTTGGCCTTGACTGCTTTCTGTGAGAGAACTCCACAGATTCACTACTCCCTGGGTGAAGAAATATCACCTCATCTCAACCACAAATGGTTCACCCTGTATCCTTAGAGTGTGAGTCCCTGGCTCTGGTCTCTCTGACCATCAGGAACTGAAAACAAAAAAATGCTGGAAATCACAGCAGGTCAGGTAGCATCCACGGAGAGGAAGCAAGCTAACATTTCGAGTCTGGATGATTCTTCATCAGAGCTGACATGAAGTGTGGAGGGGGCAGCATTTATGCAATGTTGGGTGTGTGAACTGCTGGGGGAGAAAGGGTGTTGATAGTTAGATTAATTTTTTTTTAAATTTATTCATTTGTGGGATATGTGCATTTCTGGTTGGCCAGCATTATTGCCTGTCTCTAGTTGTCCTCGAGATGGTGGTGGTGAGCTGCCTTCTTTAACTGTTGCAGTCCACCTGCTGTGGGTTGACCCACAATGCCATTAGGGAGGGAATTCTAGGATTTTGACCCAGTGTACAATAGAGGAATGGCGATATATTTCCAAGGCAGGGTGGTGAGTGGCTTGGAGGGGAACTTGCAGGTAGTGGTGTTCCCATGTATCTGCTTGCCCTTCTAGATGGAAGTGGTCATGGGTTTGGAAGATGCTGTCTGAGGATCTTTGGTGAATTTCTACAGTGCAACGTGGAGATAGTGCACACTGGTACTACTGAGCGTTGCTAATGGAAGGAGTGGATGTTTGTGGATATAGTGCCAATCAAGCGGGGGCTGCTTTGTCCTGGATGGCGTCAAGCTTCTTGAATGTCGTTGGAGCTGCACTCATCCAGGCAAGTGGAGAGTATTCCATCACACTCCTAATTGGTGCCTTGTATATGGTGGACAGGGATTGGGATGTGAGAATGGGAGAACAATGGTGTGTCCAACAGCCAAACTGTAGTGAAAAGACAGTACACTGGAGTGGGAGGGAGCAGAGAGAGGGTGATGGAGAATGTAACAAGTAAAGCTAAAAGAAAAGAAAGGAATGGTTTAACACAGTGTGGAGCTGGAGGAACACAGCAGGTCAGGCAGCATCAAAGGAGTGGGAAAGGTGATATTTCAGGTCGGGACCCTTCTTCAGAAGTAGGGGGAGGGGGAAGGAAGCTATGAAATAAATAGAGAGAGGAGGGGTGGGGCTGGGGAAAGTAGGTTGGATGTTGATAGGTGAGTGAAGGTAGGCAGTGGTGGGGATTGGTTGGTGAGATGGGTGGAGTTGATAGGTGGGAGAGAAGATGGATAGGTTGTGTCAGGCCTAGGAGGCGGGGATGAGAGGGAGGGTTGGTCATGTATGAGGTCAGGTTTGTGGGGGGAGATTTTGAAACTAGTAAAGTCCACATTGAGACCATTGGGCTGTAGGTTCCCAAGGCGGAATTTGAGGTGCTGCTCCTTCAGTTTCCGGGTGGCGTCATTATGACACTGGAAAAGGCCAAGGATGGACATGCCGTCCAGGGAGTGGGAGGGGGACTTGAAATGGTTGGGGACTGGAAGGTGTTGTCATTTGTTGCAAACAGAGCACAGGTGCTCGACAAAGTGGTCTCCAAGTCTCTGCTTGGTCTCACTGATGTAGAGGAGGCCACATCAGGAGCAGCAGATGCAATAGACCACATTAGCAGATGTGCAGGTGAACATCTGTCTGATGTGGAAGGTGTTTTTGGTTCCTTGGATGGAGGTGAGGGGGGAGGTGTAAGGGCAGGTGTAGCACTTCCTGCGGTTGCAGGGAAAGGTGCCAGGGGTGATGGGGCTAGTGGCAAGTGTGGAGTGGACGAGAGAGTCAAGGAGAGAGTGAGCCCTACAGAAGGCAGATAGGGGTGGGGAGTGGAATATACCCTTGGTTGTGGGGTCAGATTGCAGGCGGAAGTGCGGAGAATGATATGTTGAATCCAGAGGTTAGTGGGGTGATACGTGAGGACAACGGGGATTCTGTCTTTGTTTTTGTTACTGGGAGGGGATGTGAGGGTAGAGGCGTGAGAAATGCAAGAGATGCAGTTGAGAGCATTTTTGACCACTGAAGGGGGGAAGTTGCGGTCCTTGAAATAAAAGGACACCTGGGATGTTCGGGAGTGGAACGCCCCATCTCGGGAGTAGACGTCGCGGAGACAGTGGAATTGGGAGTCAGGGATCGCATTCTTGCAGGAAGGTGCTTGAGAGGATGTGTAGTCTAGGTAGAGGAGGTAGTCTAGGCCTAGGCTACGTCCTGTATCTAGACTACACCTGTTGTTCCTCCAGTTTGTGCTGTGATTCACAGGAACACTGCAGCATGCCGAGGACAGACAAGTGGGCATGCGAGCACGACACTGTGTTAAAATGACTAGGGAAGGGAAGATCGGGGTCATGCTTGCACATGGACAGGAGAATTGGATTGGAGAAGCCAAACTCAGACTTGGTGGCCACTTTGCAGACTGGAGGTGTTCTGCAAAGCAGTCACCCAATCTAGACCGCTCTCCATGACTCCCTTGTCTGCTCCACACTCCCCACCAGCCGCACCACCCCCGTCACTTTTCCCTGTAACCGCAGGAAGTGCTACACCTGCCCCTACACCTCCCCCCTCACCACCATCCAAGGCCCCAAGAAATCCTTCCACATTAAACAGATGTTCATCTGCACATCTGCTAATGTGGTATATTGTATCCACTGTTCCCGATGTGGCCTCCTCTACATCGGGGAAACAAAGCAAAGGCTTGGAGACTGCTTTGTGGAGCACCTACGCTCGGTTCGCGACAAACGACTGCACCTCCCAGTCGCGAACCACTTCAACTCCCCCTCCCACTCCTTGGACGACATGTCCATCCTGGGCCTCCTGCAGTGCCACCACGATGCCACCCGAAGGTAGCAGGAACAGCACCTCATATTTCGCTTGGGAACCCTGCAGCCCAATGGTATCCATGTGGACTACACAAGCTTCAAAATCTCCCTACGCCCGACCTCATCCCAAAATCAGCCCAGCTCGTCCCTGCCTCCCTGACCTGTTCGTCTTTTCTCCCACCTATCTGCTCCTCCCACCTCAACCCTCACCCCCACCTCCTACCTACCTACCTCATCCCCACCTCCTTTACATGTCAGTCTTCCCTTGATTGACCAGCCCCAACCCTAACTCCCCATCTACACTAACCTTTACTAGCTCCATCCCCACCTCCTTGACCTGTCCGTCTCCTCTCCGTCTATCTGCTCTTTTATCCACCTTCCATCTGCCTCCCCCTCTCTATTTATTTCAGAATCCCCTTCCCCTCCCCCATTTCTGAAGAAGGGTCCAGACCCGAAACGTCAGCTTTCCTGCTCCTCTGATGCTGCCTGGCCTGCTGTGTTCATCCAGTTCTACACCTTGTTATTTCACCCAATCTAAGTTTGGCTTTTCCAATCCAATTCTCTGTCCATGTGCAAGCATAACTCCAACCTTCCCATAACTGAGCATTTTAACACAGCATCCTGCTCGCGTGCCCTCTTGTCTGTCCTCAGCATGCTGCAGTGCTCCAGTGAATCACAGCACAAACTTGAGGAACAATCTCTCATCTTCAAACTCAACCTCTGGACGGAATATTGAATTCAACACTTTCAGATTGTGAACTCAGCCCCATTCCTTCCTTTTCTTTAACCTTAACTTGCTACGTTCTCTGTCACCATGTCCTCTCTCCCATCCAGTGGGACCGTCTGTTCTTCCCAGTCTGTCAGTTAGATACACCATTGTTCTGCCATTCTCAAATTCTGATCACTTAATCTGAACAGACATCATCCTTTCTCTCTGAGAACTCCATCTCCCCACTATTGTATAAATTCTGTCCCCTCCATGCTTCACATCAACTTTGATGAAGGGTGATCTAGACTCAAAACATTAGCTTACTCTTTCTCCATAGATGCTGCCTGACCCAGTGTGATTTCCAGCATTTTTTGTTGACAGTACCGATTCCAGCATCTGCAGTAATTTGCTTCGGTCATCGGGGACATCCGTCCAGTGTCCACCTTGTCCAGTCTTGTTCGAATTATATTGGCTTCTATCAGACTCCTCCCTTATTCTTCTCAACTTTAGGCAAACAAGATCTTAATCAATTCAACCTCTCGCTCATGCCAGTCTTGCCATCCCAAGAATGCACTCAAAATTTCTAAGCACACAAAAGTTGGGATGTTGGGCAGGAATGAATCATTTTGCTTCAGTCCTGAGGCAACAAATGAGTTTCAGCAATTGATTAACTGAGGCAGAGTCAACACGTAGATATTTCCCAATCTACCTGTTGTGATTGGAACCTAGGCATCAGGGACATTACCACTGTGTTACAAGAGTCAGCAGGACGGTCTACGTATCAAACTGAAGATGATATACATTAAATAGGAAATTGATGAAACTACAAAGGTCCAGCAAATGAAGTCTAGAAAATAACATGATCTTATGTCCCATTTCATTTACAGATCCAGTTTATAATGTCACTGTATCGGCCAACAATTCGAAACCAGTGGAAACCATTGACACCGTTTTACTAACTTGTCATGCCTCGGGCTTTGTGCAGTCACAAAAATGGCTGAAAAATAACCGAAATATCAAGTATAGTTCCAGAACGCTACTTTCTTCAGACAATGTCACCCTGACTATAGTCAACGTGAGCAGAAATGATTCAGGAATATATCAATGCCGAGCCAGCAAAAGTTTTAGTAGCGATTCCGGGCATAGCATCCTGCAAATTAATTGTAAGTACACAGGGAGCTTAAAGCATTCTTTTACATTTAATGTGAGTGATTGTCTTAGCTGTACAGAAATCACAGAATTTCTTGATTCTTTATTTTACAGATGGACCAGAGACTGTCTTTATCGCACCCCGAGGGCCAATTCAAGTTGAAGTGGGAAAAATGCTTACCTTACATTGTTCTGCTGTATCAGTCCCGCCTGCTGCATATCAATGATACAATGGTAGTCGACTTCTAAACACAGGACAAACTTATAACATTGACTCATTGAGTTTGAATAACAGTGGGAATTATACTTGTCAGGCTAAAAACATCATTAACATGGAAAGCCAAAACATTACTGTACAAGTGATTGTCCAAGGTAAATAAAGGATTCACTACAAGTTTCAATGCAATTGAAACTTGCAAAAATGCAATTACAACACCGCTATGCTTTACACTTTAAATCCTTACCTACATTATGTTTCCAAAATTAACAACAAACGAATCATCATTTAGGTTTTTAGAATGTAATATAATCCAAAGGATGTTTGACTTTTGAGATTGAATGAGGTCTTACCCTTAGATGAGGGGTCTGCCTTAATAGGAGAGATTGAGCAGTTGAGGTCTATACTTACTAGAGTTCAGAAGAATGAGAGGAGATCTACTTAAGGTACATAACACGCTAAAAGGAGATTGACAAAGTAGACATCGGGAGATGTTTCCTCATGTGGGGCAATCGAGAATGAGAAGTCATAGTTTTAGGGTAAGGGGTGGTAGATTTAAAACAAAGATGAGGAATTACTTCTCTGAAAGGATTGTGAATCTCTGGAATACTGCAGTGGACGCCAGAACATTGAGTAAATTTAAGTTGCAGATTGACCAATTGTTTGTTAGAAATGGCTTGAAGCGTGATGGAGAGCAGACAAGAAAGTGGAGTTGAGGCTAAGGTTATATTAAATGGTAGTGCAGGCCCGAGGTGCTTAATAGCACACCTCTGCTCCTAGTTGGTATGTTCTAAAGAAATTAAAAGTAATTAGTACTTTGTTTGATGATTTAGTTTTTATTTTTAGTCTCATCTATTGCAACAGATAAAGTTTAAATCAGCTTTGAGAATAACTTTGCTTGGCTCCTTTCTAAAGCAAGCCATACTGTCCTGAGAGATAAGGAAATTCCAAGTCAGATCTCAGTTAGCATATTATCCAGGTGTATGTAAGACTGTAAGGCCATAAAAAATAGAACAGGAGTTGGCCATCTGGCCCCTTGAGCCTGATCTGCCATTCAATAGGATCATGGCCGATCTCACATTCCTCACATCCACTTTCCTGCCCTTTTCCCCATAACCCTCGATTCCCTGGCTGATCAAGAATCTATCTATCTCAGCTTTAAATGTACACAATGACTCTGCCCTCACAGCTCTTTGTGGCAAAGAGTTTCAAAGACTTACAACCCTCTAATAGAAGAAATTCTTCCTCATCTGAGTCTTAAATTGATGCTCTTTATACTGAGACTAGACTTAGACTCTCCAATGAAGGGAAACATCCTCTCAGCATTTGCCTTGTCACGTCCCTTAAGAATCTAATATGTTTCAATGAGATCATCTCTCATTCTTTTAAACATCAGTGAGTAGAGTCCCAACCTGTTTAACCTTTGCTCATAAAACAATTCCTTCAAACCGGGAATCGTCCTAGTGAACTTTCTCTCAACTGCTTCCAAAGAAATGATCTCTTTCCTTAAATAAGGGGACCAAACCATCTCACAGTGCACTGGATGTGGTCTCCCCAATGTCTTGTATAGTTGCAGGAAGACTTCTCTACTCTTTGCTCCAACCCCTTTGAAATAAGGGCCAACATTCCATTAGCCTACTTGATTACCTGCTGCCTCTGTATGCTAGCTTTCTGTGTTTCATGCACTAGACTCCCAACTCCTTTTGTGTTGCAGCTTTCTGCAGTTCTTTCCCATTTCAATAATATTGGATTGTATTGATCTCCCTTCCAAAATGAACAACTTTGCACTTTCCCACATTGTACTCCATTTGACAACTTATTGCTTTTCAATATTTTTCTGTAAATAGTTTGTGTCCCTCTTGCAACCAGCCTTTCCACATATTTTTATGTCATTTGGCTGCAGTACATTCATTTCCTTCCTCCAAGCCATTAATATATATTGTAAACAGTTGCAGTCCCAGCATTGATCCCTGTGGAACCCTATTGCTCTTGGGTCATGAACCTGCAAAAGAACCTTTTATCTCCACTTGCTGTTTCTTGCCGATTAGCCAATTACCTACCCATGCCAATATGCCACACCCAGCACGGTGGGCTCTTATTTTATGATTTAATCTTTTGTGAGGTACCTTGTAAACACCTTCTGTAATCCAAATACAATACATCTACTATGTTCCCTCTATCCACTCTTTTTGTGACTTTCTTGAAAAATTGTAGTAAGTTATTTACACACAATTTCTTTTCCATGAAACCATGTGGAATCTGCTTGATTAGGTTATGACTTCCCAAATACTCCTTTGTTACTTCCTTAGTAATTGATTTCAACATTTTTCAGCAATAGATATTTGGCTAGTCAACCTGAAGTTACCCACTATTTCCTCCTTCCCTTTTTGAATGCAGGTGTCTCATTGGCATTTTCCAGTCCTCTGGTAGTTCTCCAAAATCCAATGATGTTTTTGGAAAATTACCACCAATGCATCCATTATCTCTGTAGCTACTTCTTTTAGGTTCCTAGGATGCAAGTCCCAAGGCCAGAGGACTTATCTGCACCTAGATCCATTAGTTTGTTTTGTACTACTTCCTTAGTGATGGTGATAGTATTTAATTCCTCCCCTGTATTCTCTAGTATTAATGGTATGTTCAAAATATCTTCAACCCTAAAGTCTGATTTTGGTTAACTCCTTTGCCATTTCTTGTTGCCCAAAGCCATCTCCCCAGATTCATTTTCTAAAGGGCCCATGTTCACTTTCACTCTTGCTCCCTTTTTAATATTTAAAGAAGTTCTTATTGTCAGTTTTTATATTTCTCATTAGTTTGCCTTTGTAGATTATTTTCTCTGTTTTTCTCACCTTTTCAGTCCACCTTTGCTGGAACCTAAATTTAGCTTAGTCTTTGAGGCTATCACTGACTTTAGCCTGCTTATATAATTTTCATTCGTCTGAATATTCTCCTTAACTTCCTTGGTTAGCCACGGTTGCCTTATCCCTTTCTTAGAATCTTTCCTCCTTACTGGGATGTATTTTTGTTGAGAGCCATGAATTACCTCCTTAAATGCTGGCCATTGCTTGCTTACTGTCATTCCTGCTAATTTATCTAACCAGATCACTCTAACTAACTCTATCCTCACTTCTTTATAATTTCCTTTATTTAAGATGGTATGATTAGTATGTCTGCAGCTGAAACTAAGATTGGTGGTATAGTGGACAGTGAAGCAGTTCATCTGGGGATGCAGACTGATCGTGATCAATTGGGCCAGTGGACTGACAAATGGTAAATGGAGTTGAATGTAGGTAAATGCAAAGTGTTGTATTTTGGTAAGACAAACTAGGGTAGGACTTACACAGTCAATGGTAGAGCCTTGGGGAGTGTTATAGAACAAAGATATCTAGGGGTACAGGTTAATAGCACCTTGAAATTGAAGTCAAAGGTAAAAGGGGCAGTGAAGAAGGCTTTCGGCATGCTAGCTTTCATCAGTCCGAGCATTGAGTATAGGAGTTAGGACGTGTTACTGCAGCTGCACAAGACCTTGGTGAGGCCACATTTGGAGTACTGTGTGCACTTCTGGTCGCCCCACTATAGAAAGGATATTATTAAACTAGAAAGAGTGCAGAAAAGATTTATTAGGATGCTACCTGGTCTGGATGGTTTGAGTTAGTAGGAGAGGTTGGATAGGCCGGGACTTTTTTCACCGGAGCATAGGAGACTGAGGGAGACCTTACAGAGGTATATAAAGTCATGAGATTTTTGAGAAGATTTGTAGCTCGGGTTGTGGATAAGATTGTCGACATGCTCACCAAGCTGGTGGGTTTTATTGCAGACATTTTGTCACCCTGGTAAGTAACATCGTCAGTGCGCCTCCGGTTGGTGTACTGTCCTGCTTGTTATTTATATGCCTTTTAAAAAGAATGGGTACCTAAAAAGATAGACCACAACCAATCAAACTAATGTAATATACAAAATAACATGCAAGGACTGTGAGAAACATTACATAGGCTAAACTGGAAGAAAACTGACAATAAGGATATACGAACACCAAGTAGCCACCAAGAGACATGACCAATTCTCATTGGTCTCAATACACATGGACAAAGAAGGACACAAATTTGACTGGGACAACACATCCATAATAGCACAAGCCAAACAGAGGCATGCCTGGGAATTCCTGGAGGCGTGGCATTCCAACAGGAACTCTATCAACAAACACATTGAACTGGACCTGATATACAAACCATTGGAAGTGATGCCAACCAGTCCAGCAAACCAAGGCATATAAATAACAAACGGGATAGAACACCAACGCTTCATCGGAGGTGCACAGAAGATGTTACCTAGCAGGGTGTCGAAATGCCTGCAATCAAACACACTGGTTCAGTGAGCAAGTCTACAATCTCAAAATCATGGGACGCATAGATAAGGTAGATAGCCGACAGATTTCCCCCATGGTAGTCGAGTCTAAAAATAGAGGCCAAAGGTTTAAGTTGAGAGGGGAGAGATACAAAAGTGTCCAGAGAGGCACGCTTTTCACACAAAGGGTGGTGAGTGTCGAGAATGGGCTGCCAGATTTAGTGCTGGAAGTGAATTTTGTCATTTAAGAAACATTTGGACTGGTACATGAATGGGATAAGTATGGAGGAATAGGGACCAAACACATGCAAATGGGATTAGTTTAAATTGTGAAAACTGGGCAGCATGAGCAAGTTGGGCTGAAGGGCGTGTTTCCATGCTGAAGACTTCTATGACTCTAAGTTGATCACAATTGTTTCCAACCCAAATTTTTCACTCTTGAACTGGATATTAAATTCTATCATTTTATGATCACTACTTCAATGGAGATGTTTTACTCTGACGTCATTGATTAAGCCTGCCTCATTACTCATTACAAGATCCAAGATTTCCTGCTCTCTCGTTGTGCCCATGCTCCAGGAAACTATCCCTAATGCACCCGATGATTTCATGTTCATGGCTACCGTCTCCAGTTTGGACAACCAAATCAACAATAAAGAAACCTATCCTTATTACTGTATTCTTTTTACATTCTCCTATTAATTGTTGATTTTCCCACAGACTGGCTATTGTTTAGGGGTCTGGACTCTACTCCTATCAATGTCTCTTCCCCTTTTCTTTTATCTCTGCCTAAGTAGACTTTTCATCAT